GCGAGCTAGTCGTCTGATTCGCAACGTGAATCATAGCGCACGAGTCACGTCATGACAAAACCGTGAAGTAAACCATATGTTCAACACGTGTGCAAGTCTCTGATTCATGTACTTTACTCGATCGCGAGGCACAATTTCCGGTCATAAGCACGCAATTGAAATTTCGCCCAGTGAAACGACTTCGCGGAACTATCGAATGTTCATCGACGAAAACTGCTTGTCCGGAATTTGCGATATCGACATGCGTCCTCGTTCGACAAAATTATACCCCATTTGAACCATTCTTGCTATAAAATTCTAATTGCATGCGAGAATATACTGGAGGTGATTATACAGTGATCATTTTTCATACGTTATTAAAATCTATAGAGCCAAACAATTGGATCGATAGAAATTGTCGCATTCTATTCGAACAATAGAGTCTTTATTGATACTTCGCCTGCTTTGAGCTTTGTATGTCTCATCGTGGTCAGTGGAATTTTTATTATCATAAGACATAACCTTGACAATTTTTCTCAGAATTTTTCATGTAATTTTTCAAAATTTCTGTATAATTTTATAACTTTTTCACATTTTTTATACGAATAATTGGAACATTTCTCAGAAAATCTACATCTTTTCTCAGAATTTTCCATATGTTAATTATAAAATATCGTAAGATTTCTAAGATTTTTTGTAAGTATAATTTCTGATGAAATGTTACTAAATCTAAAAAATTTTTAAATATTTTTTAAAAATTATGGGATGAGAAATCTTAGATTATTTCAGAATTCACATATATAAAAAATTCTGAGAAAAGATGTAAACTTTCCAAATATTTCTGAAGTATTTCCAAGTATTTCTAAAAAATGTTCCAATTTGTATTAAAAATATAAAAATTATTTAAAAAATGTTTCCCAGAGAATAGTAATAAAATATTGTGTAATTAAATAGGACTATATCATCATAGATCCTGTGTTAAATAGTGCATAAATATTTTATTTTACATCATGTTGTGTTTGTCGGTAAACTGAATATGACAATAGGTATATACAAAATACGAGATATTAAATTTCGGGTGTGAATGTACATACAGCGTTTGTATCTTTCTATCTGAGTATCCGTCGTGATTTGTGAAATTTTTAAATTATTGACCTGAGAGAATTTAGTTATATTCATGCAATTATATCTCGGATTAAATAATGAGATTTTCGTCCCAAACATTTGTTTGAATTATGCTACGACTATAGCTGCAAACTAGAATTCTTTAGGTTCGCAAGGGAGAACATTTAAAGCAAGCTGTACTTAATTTAGGTACGTAACAGTATAATCTTATTTTAGCAGCATCGTCGAGATTCTTAGTATTACCATTAAAGAGTCCTTCATAGTGAATGAACCAACCGTCGAAGGTTAATCTATTCTCGAGATCCTAGGTGAACTCTGTGATACCATTTATGAGCGATTCTATTTTTATTTCCACGTCAGAATCAAAGCAGTTAAAAGCTTTTTAGCAAATGTTTGTTATTACTGAAGGAATAATTCTTGTTGAGATTTTGCTCGAGCTTGTTGATGCCAGAAAGTAAGAAGAACTGTAATATATCTGCCACGTTACTGAAGGAACAGAATGTATATAGCATATAAAAAAATATCGTAGGTGCAAATGTCTTCACTGTTGTATTCATTTATCGACAAATACGATTATTTATACTTATATATATTATGGAGCATTCCATGCCAAATCGGACGGCCTTCGTCACCGACCCCTGTCGATTTTTTACTGATTTTTCAATATAATCCTCAGATTAAAATACGTATTCAGTTATTTTTTTAGATTTTTATCTCTGTTAGTTTCCTAGATATAAATTTTTTAATATTTTCAATTTATTTTATTTTCGCAAACGTTTATGTAACTCATTTGCTGATAAAAAATCTACTAACATTAAATAATATATTTAATATTTGAAGAATTAAAAAACACGGAACGGAAATTTTGACCATAATAATTATGATCAAATATGGCTTGAAGTGTTTATATTTATACTAAGAATATTGGAGAATTTTTTTATTATAAAAATTAAACATTTCGATCTTGAAAAAAATCGACTTTGTTTATTTCGATCAGATTTTTTGAATAGAAACAAAAACTTTTTTCATATTTTTTTTTCTAATACAAAATTTCAAGACGAACAATTTAATGTGGTCTTGTTTTTCAATAATTTGAACAGATGTTAAACATAACTTCTTAAACATAACTGTTCAAATTATTGAAAAACAAGACCACATTAAATTGTTCGTCTTGAAATTTTGTATTAGGAATAAATAAATATGAAAAAAGTTTTTGTTTCTATTCAAAAAATCTGATCGAAATAAACAAAGTCGATTTTTTTCAAAATCGACATGTTTAATTTTTATAAAAAGATTCTCCAATATTCTTAGTATAAATATAAACACTTCAAGCCATATTTGATCAAAATTATTATGGTCAAAATTTCCGTTCCATGTTTTTTAATTCTTCAAATATTAAATCTATTATTTAATGTTAGTAGATTTTTTATCAGCAGATGAATTACATAAATCATGTTATTTCATAACGATATTAGAGAATATACTCGTATTTTTTATTTCATAATTATTAAGGGAATAAGAATTCACCCAGAAAAAAGGTCCGATTTAAAGAAATTTTGGTTAAAGAAAAAAATTTCTTTGATTTGTGAAAAAATTTCTTTGATTTAAACATTATTTTTTTAAATCAAATAGAATTTATTTGATTTAAAAAAATTATGTTTATTTTTTGGATTTGAACATAATTTCTTTCAATCAAATAAATTTTATTTGATTTAAAAAAATAATATTTAAATCAAAGAAATTTTTTCTTCAACCATATAGCAAAAAAAAAATATTTCTATGGGTGTTTATAGAAATATTATTTGAATAAAATAATGTCTTTTAGAATATGTAAAGAAATTTATTAATAAATATTGGATTATTTTTATTTTTTAATTTTTTTCTCACTCTTGTATATTTTATGATCCAAAGAGTTTGAAATTTTTTTTACACTAAATGTACGATTTTTTTGAGGAATAATACTATGAATTTTTTGAGTCTCAGGTATAGGCTTTTAAATCGAGTCGCAAGATATTCCTTTGCTAAGTTATATTCTTCTGTTAATGAGAATTTTACTGCGATATTTGGCAAATTCATTGAATATATCTGGCCCACTCCAACAGTTCATGTGAAGTAGTTATGTATCTGGTGATCAGATGGGCGTTGAAGATTTACACGAGTAGCCATTCTTTTTACCAAACCATCTATTCCGTTACATGGACCTTTGCAATGCTCCATGGCAAAAAAAAATGTTGGCATTTAGTCGGCACTTCAAAGTCTTCTTCATAATAATAGATATTTCCAAAGATCTTAAAAATTTTTGAAATGTTATAGAAGTACTATTAGGAAAGTAATATATTTTATCAGGATCATTAATTCGAAATAGTCCTTACAAATTCATTGATAATTTTGGAAAACACATATATTCTCTAGTATCGTTATGAAATAATTCATCAGCAGATTAAAAATCTACTAACATTAAATAATAGATTTAATATATTGAAAAATAAAAAACATAGAACAGAAATTTCGATCATAATCAAATATGGCTTGAAGTGTTTATATTTGTACTAAGAATAATGGAGAATTTTATTTTGAAAATAAAAATGTCGATTTTGACGAAAATCGACTTTGTTTATTTCAATTAGATTTTTTTAATAGAAACAAAAACTTGAAGATTTTTTTCATATTTTTTGCCTAATAGAGAATTTCAAGACAAACAATTTGATATGATTATTTTTTGTTTTCTGTAATTTAAACAGATGTTAAACGTGTTAAAATTTAATTTCAATTAAACGTTTGCGAAATAAAATAAATTGAAAATATTAAAATATTCATATCTAGGAGATTATACCGTGTATATATCATAGTAGAATTTTTGTTCTACTAAGCATATGATGATAAAATATTGATTAAATAAGATTGTACCCTCACGGATACTGTGTTAAATAGTGCATATTTATTTTCTGTTAGCTAGGTATTTATGTCATTATTGGATGAGAACATTTATCTAAAATGTTTCGATATTAATACATTATTTATTTGACGAATTTAGTACTCTTACAGAGCCACATAGAATTTTCATTACTACACTGAAAGATTGACTGCTGCAGCAAATTAGATGGTAAAATATGGCATAGCATTTTTAATTAGTTGCAACAGCTAATTTTTGGTTGCGTTAATCTATCGAAATCCTATACTGACATTGCGGATAGGCTAATGTAAAAATTGGCTGCTACAACCAATTAAAAATGCTATGCCATATTTTACCATCTAATTTGCTGCAGCAGCTAATCTTTTTTTTCAGTGTACAAATTATAAAATATATAAATGATAATATACCGCTTATAAGAAGTGCGTCTATATATATCATTATAAACTGTACTGTATTGAATATCGCACATTTCACTTTATATTGTTATCTTAAATTAAAAAATTTTATATTGAATAATGTTTATTTCTTACAAGAGTTTTGAGAAGCTTTGATGATACTGGTTATCAGCGATCATGATAATCAACGCATTAAAATTACGTAGCACAGAACCTGATAGTGTTCAATAGCGGAAATCCAGTAGCGGAAATCCGACTCGATGCGCAAGTTTATTTAAAGTTGAATCAAGATCCAACAAGTGCAAATGGCTTCGCTGTGATTCATATTACGGTCAGTGCAGAGTTTAAAGTCAAGCGTGAACGCGACTGTAGGTTTCCTGTGGAGTGATTAAAAGCCGCGTTGTAAGGTCCAGTAAAATGCGCAACGTCTACACGTATAACTCCGTGTAGTGACGTGCGAGGGATTGCGTGTCGGATACTCGAGTATGTATATATACTCGTGCGATCGTTTTACAGTCGTTCATAATTCGCGAGGTAGGTAAATCGCACGTTGCGAAACACGCTAACATGGCAAATTTTACTTTCAGATCCAGAGACGGGTCGACCGTCCTGCTTTTCGGACGTTGAGCGAATGGTTACGACCCGCGTGCCGTGCGAAACGTGAAAGATTAATCACAAGGTCTGCAATAACGCGATGGGACGGCGATAGTGATGTTTCGGTCACGAAGTTCAAAGTTGTATCGATTAGCTGAAATGGGGTCTGCAAACTGGTGGCTGATCGCGGTCATCGCTGTGATAATCTCGACGGGAGCGACGATAGCCCTCGAGGGACCGAACATATGCACCCGGCAGGAAACGTAAGCATACGAGAATCGAATTTTTAATAATTTATCGCAAATTTGCCATATCGCTTATAAACTTAGGAATAAGTCATTTCTAATTATTCTTAAGCCGGGTTTACAATGAGTCGGTAGTCTGTAATCGGTGAGTTGAAATCAGTAAATCGGTAGAGTGTTGGCCAGCAGCCAACTTCTAAGACTACCTCATTGTAGACCCTGACTTACTACTCTCAACAACAAAAAATTGTAACTTAGTCGCAGTACTCAAGAAATGAATATAAAGAAAAGTAGGAGTCAGCATGGTACTTTGTGCGTAAATATAGTATTTGTTATATTTAAATAGTTATGAGATAAAGTATTAAAAATAATTTAACTTGAAGAAATAAGTCCAAAAGCGTACGAATTTGTATTATTCTTTGAATTTGTACCGTATAAAGTATCGCGCTGACTTCTATTTCTCTTTATATTCTTTTTTTTTAATTTGTAAATATTGAAAAGTACCACATAATTTTTTAATTATTTACTTGCAATAGTTTTTTTACTCATCAAAAATGTACTTTCTTTTTGCTTCTTACGTTTTTTAGGAAATTTTTAGTAAATCTACCTAATGATCTCAAATATATTGTAGATAAATCAGTAATATACAATATGTAGATTATTAATAATAATGACTTTTAATTGATGTATAAAACCATCCTCGAATATCGTTCAATAAAAAACTAAATAATTCTCCCGGTAAAAAATTTTTCATGCATGAATATGTACAAATATGTATAAACATACATAAACACGCATAAATATTCATAAACATGTATAATTATATATGAAATGTGTCCATACATGTTCATACATTCTTTTTTCTTTTGTAAAATTATTTTTTAGTGTAATAGAAATAATAATACTGATATGAAAACATTAAAAATAATTAAAAAGATAATTTCCGCATTATTTGTTTCAGAAAAAATCAAGTTTGAAAAAATGTAAAAAAATTACTTACGTATAATTATATATAAAATTATGCACAATTATGTATGAGCAATTTTTTTTACATTTTTCCAAACTTGTTTTTTTCTAAAATAAACAATGTGAAAATTATCCCTTTAATTATTTTTTATGTTTTTACATTACTATTATTATTTGTATCACACTAAAATGTAATTTTACAAAAGAGAGAAGGGTGTATGAACATGTATGGACACATATTTCATACATAATTATACATGTTTATGAATAACTATGTGTGTTTATATATGTTTATACATATTTATGCATATTCATGCATGAAAAATTTTTTACCTGGTTATATTCTCGTTAAAATGCATATCTGATCATTATCATAAATGGAATTTACGAATATCATTTCAGGTATACGATAACAGTGAAAGTATCCGAGCAGAAACCATACACTGTGCGAGAGAACACGTGGTGCTTCAGTTTCCCACCGAGATGTTCCAAATACAAAGTTGTCTACAAAACTGTCTACAAAGAGCAGGTCGGTTATCTAATCTGCGTCTTCCATTTACCTATATACATACTTTCTAATTTATTTACGGAGAGATCCCCGATCTAAATTTGCTTTCCTGCTTGCTATTACTCGTAATAAATTTAAAAAAGAAAACTATGGAGAGAAACGATTATCGGTGGAATGGTTCAGTAATTACGCGATTCTTTCAGGAATTGATAAAACAAAAGCCCGTAGAGGAATGCTGCAAAGGCTACACGGAGACCACAAATGGCAGTCGTTGCATTCCAGTCTGTTCCGAGGATTGCCGCCACGGGACTTGCATCGCGCCTGACATCTGCAAATGCGAATCTGGATATGGCGGCCCGTTATGCGACTTTAGTGAGTTTCTTATTGTTTTATTTATTCTTATTGGACTAATAATAATGACGGAACGCACGCATTCTAGTAATACCCGGCGACTCAAGTACTCTTTTATTGCACGTATGTTTCATTTGTGATACAACAATCTGACATAAATAATAACATATTGGAATAACACATAGAGATAAAAAAGATGTTAAACGTATAAGATAATGAAAACGTTACTAAAAATATTTATTTTGATGATAATAACACCTCGAAATTAGGAATACATAATCATGAATCGTGAATGTTTAACGTTCATTTAAAAAACTTAAAACTGAAGTTATAGAAAAAGTTATAGAGAAAGAAGTTTATTAAAAATTTCCATAAAATTATGTGAATTGAAAACATAATCAAAATTTTTTTCTTCTTTTTTCTGTAAAATTTTTAATTTTGAACTCTTTTAAAAACAATTTTTGAAAGAAATTATTTTAAAAGTTGAAAAGTATATACTTTCTGAAATAAAAATACTTTTTGTTAATTTTGTCCAATAATGTTTCATCAAATTACGTTTGCGTTTTAAAGTAAAATAAAAATATTTAAAAAATACCAAAATAATTTTAGTTTTATATAATTAAAATTGAATTAAAAATTAAATTAAATTTAGATATAATTTATCATATAAATTAAATTGCTAAATTAAATTAAAAATTAAATTAAAATTAGATACAAAATATCATATAAATAGAATTAAATAACGAATTTACAGTCCTATCTTTTCCCTTTAAAGTACATTTTTTTAAATTTCTCTACAATTTTTTTACTAAGGTACTTAATTTTTCGTGAAATACAAGAAAATTGCAAGCGTTCCCAAATTATGAACAGTAATAAATACACTTTTATTGTGTTTAAAATGACTTTTTGCTGGAATATTTATGTCCAAGAATTATTTAAAAAATTGATTGATGAAAGAGTACATAGTGACTTCCTGCTTCAACAAAGATAAAAAGTCTGTTTAAAAAGCGGAGCTTTACACAAGGTAATTTATTTTTAACTCTCGTATGAACAGAGTGTCCGTCGGGTAAATGGGGCAGAGATTGCGAGATGGATTGTAAGTGCCAGAATGGGGCCGCATGCGATCCGTTTGATGGCAAGTGCATGTGTACCAGGGGCTGGACTGGAGTGTACTGCGATCAAAAGTGTCTTTTTAACCGCTACGGACAGGATTGCGCCGAAGAGTGCCGTTGCAGTAACGGTGGGAGTTGCCATCATATTTCTGGTGAATGCCATTGCACCTCCGGTTACACAGGCCCGCTGTGAGTTTCATATTTCCAAATTTCTTTGTTTTTACTGGAAATTTTGTAATTTTTATCAAAATTCTCTTGTTTAAATTAAAATATCTATCCATCTATGCCTTTTGCATATTTTTCGAGAAATTTCTTTAAAAAATAATAGCTTCAAAAAGATTTTTATTTTAAAAAAATAATAACCAGCCAAAAATGTAGTTAACGACTCTGATTAAAAAATTTTCAGAATATCTCATATTTTTAAGAATTTTTCGTATTTTGAATATTTAAATTTATATAAAGATTTCCGAAAAAATACCTGAACTTCTATAAACAATTCTAAAAAAAGATCTAAATTTTCTCATTTCTGAAGTGTTCTAATTCATATGAAAATCTAAGAAACTTTCTAAAAAATTATAAATTATTCAGAAATTTTTTGAAATTTTTGGAAATTATATAGAAATACTGAAAAATTATACGAAGAATTCTAAGAAATATTTTTACCAGGGAAAAGTATCGATCGTAAACGATCGCTGTGATGTCTCACCTATCACACCACTATTATGTTACACAGATGCAACGATTTATGTCCTATGGGCAAGCATGGCGAGGAATGCAAGTCGGAATGCCGTTGTCAGAACGGTGGATCCTGCAACCCTATGACCGGTGAATGTTACTGTACATCCGGTTGGACAGTACGTGAGACTTAGCACAATTAAATATGAAGTATATCCCGCGACATTACATATGTAAATTTTACATACAAATTTGGTTTGTTACAGGGTTCGGTCTGCGCAAATCGATGCCCGGAAAGTTTTTGGGGCAAGAACTGCTCTCAGTCCTGCGATTGCTATAACGGAGCCGGTTGTAATCACATTACGGGCAAGTGTCAGTGCAAACCGGGTTTCTACGACGACAAAGTATGTAAACGCTGATTACTCTGATTAAATAAAATGTCTTTAAATCGAAATAATTAATATTCTTTTTTTTCTCCAACGCGACGAATAGTGTTTAAAAGTTTGTCCCGAGGGCACGTTTGGACTGAACTGTACAAACAACTGCACTTGTGAAAATGGTGCCACATGCAATCCTACTAACGGCACCTGTGTATGCAGTCCAGGTTGGACGGGTAAAATGTGCAGTCAAAGAGCCTGCGAGGACGGTTTATACGGTCCCAATTGTGCAAAGGTGAATCGTGGCTTCTTAGAAAACTATTCTTGAAAACTTTGTCACGATGTCTCAACTAATCGTAAATTAAATTTAATTTGCAGGTCTGCGAATGCGAGAACGATAAAACGGAACTATGTCATCCTTGGACTGGATATTGTTCTTGCAAAATGGGATGGGACGGCGAAACCTGCGCCAGGCCATGTCCCTTATATACATACGGAAAGAGTTGCCAGAATCGTTGCAATTGCAGGAACAACGCACAGTGTTCACCAATCAATGGCACTTGTATTTGCGCGGCCGGGTATCGCGGAAAGGATTGCGGCGAGTTATGTCCCACAAACACTTTCGGAGAAGATTGTGCGCAGAAGTGCTCCTGCAAGAACGGAGCCAGCTGCTCAGCTGAGAATGGACGTTGCAACTGCACGGCTGGTAAGCATAATTGTATACAACTCGAATGATTACTCCCAGTGGTTTGTAATTATAAACTCGTTTAGAGAGAGATTTTTTTTTAATGCATTATTATATATTTAGAAAAGAAAATTTCTATAATAATCAACGTGTTTCAAACGGTCCACTCAAGTATTTATATTAATTTAACATATGTGAATATATTAACAAAATAAGTATTATGTAAAATATTAACACAAAAAATATAACATTGACACTATTTGTAAGCAAATTATGGACTCATATTTTTTCAACGAAATTAATATTTCTAATATGTTAAATTAACACAGCTCAGTAAAACTAACATTGATGATGTTTAATTAACACATTTGATGTATTTATCTTAGAATTTTAAAATATATTATTTTTATATTCTTTTTTCACTTGCTCATAAATTGTATTATTTTAATACTAAGAAATGTTAAATATTAATTTAATATAAAATATTTAAAATAACACAATCACATTATGTTAAATTAACACTCGGATATATTAAGAATTCACCCTTTTAGACGACACAAATACTGTTTTATCTTTGTTATTCATTGCCAAAAAGGATAGAACGACGTTTGTGTCATCTAAAATGAAAGCAACTTATATGTAATCAATTACACTAAACTTTCAGTTTGCTTTTTCTAAAAATTTTTGGTTATTCTTAATTTTACCTTTATTGTCTCTTGAAGTCTTGTCAATATTTCACAATTACCTTGCATAACATTTTTGCATGGTATCAGATAGTTGCCTCCTTTTAACGTTTCTCGTAGTGTTTTTCATTGCTCGCCTGTAGAACTTACATATAATTATTCAGTAGAATTATTTATTAAAGTCCAGTTTACGTATTTCCGATGGAGAAGATATTCGATATTCTGTATGGTAAGTACTATACAGATTATATGTATCTCTGTGATATTTTGTCAGGATGGGTCGGTGTTTTGTGCGATCGTCCCTGCGACGACAAGTCTTATGGCAAGGATTGCGAAGACAAATGCAAGTGCTTTAACAATGCTGCCTGCAACCCGCAAAATGGTAAGGCAACTGAATAGTAGACCCTATCGATTCGACTTCGCAAATAGAATTGGTGAAATTTTACACCGATATTGTTAAAAAAGAAAATGTACAAAGAATACGCGACAAAATCCTTTAAATTCTCTCTCAGCACCTGCACCAAGAACACACGTTATTTTATCTATACACACACGCAGGCACGTGCACATGTGCAGCTGGCTTCACCGGTATACTATGTCAGGATCGTTGTAAAAAGGGCTTTTTTGGAAACGGATGCAATCAGAGTTGTGACTGTGTCGAAGAAAATACCGTAGACTGTGACTCCACTACCGGGCGTTGCATCTGCAAGCCAGAATGGCGAGGTTTGTTGAATTTATTTTCGCGTCCGATCATCAATCAAAAATTTTGCACATCGAGATATAATTTTACGTTATTGAGACAACAGAAAAATTATTGTTAAGCGATCGTGAAAAATATTATTCGTAAACATAAGTACATCGCATATATTATCGGTCTAACAATAATTAATACAAAGAATAAAAGAAGCGGTAAAATAATATAGAAAAAGCTGCTTTAATAGCCAGCGAAGAGTCGTTTCTCGAGACGAGTTTTGCTTTAACATCAAAACAGGGGTACGATGCGAAACAAAGTGCCCAGAGGGTCTTTACGGCGAGGATTGCCACTCGCATTGCGAATGCATGAACAATAGTTCGTGTGATCCCACGACCGGAAGTTGTGTCTGCGCCAGGGGTTGGCAGGGCCCCGATTGCTCGCAACCCTGCAATGAAGGATGGTACGGACTGGGCTGCAGAGAAAAATGTCCGGAGAAAATGAATGGTAAAGAAGATTAATATCCAAGATGTAAACGCATGATGTTGTGTGTGTATGTGTGTTGAGTGTGACCAGCCATAACACATTAAATTTGCATGATTTTTTGACAATTGTATTTTTGTAAATAACATAATTAATTGTCTTGTGGTATAGAGTATTATGTTTAACATCCTAAATTTATTAAATTTATGTTGAATGTTATGTTATTCTCATAGTTATCATATATTAGAGTGATTTCTCAGTTTCATAATGCATAAATGGAAACGCTCACTTGATTTCTCTCTCTCATGGAACATATGTATTTTTATGTAAGTTTAACCATTTGCTGTGATATATATTGATACACCACAATAGGAAAGGAGTACAAAAGAGGAAATTAGATCAAATTGTAAGACGAATTTTTTCCACTTATGGTGACATTGTAACATTCGATGTAGAAAATACGCTTGGATGTGGGTTTTCTTTTGCGTATTTTGCAATACAACTAATTTGAAAAAGAATTTGACCACTACTTACGCTAACGCTGACGCAAACGATAGAAATAACACTCCATTTCAATCTATGTCACCAATCGCTTTTATACCATCGAACGCTTTACTGAGTACTTTTATTGATTGTTAGTTTATGTATTTTACATTTAGTTAAAACAAATATGGTATTAAGAATAATAATTTTAATGAGTATATCGTACGTTGAAAAATCAACAAAGTTTTTCCATGGAAATTTTTCTAAATTAGCAATAAAATTTTCAACATCGTTGTTTCTCTCCTTAGGAAACATGACTTGCGATCACGTTACCGGTGAATACGTCTGCCGTCCGGGATACTTGGGTCTTACCTGTGAACATCCATGTCCACCCAATCGTTATGGGCTAAACTGCGCAAATCGTTGTCACTGTAGAAACGGCGGGGAATGTCATCACGTAACAGGCATGTTGAGAACTCGCAACTCTTCCTGAAATATACAATTGCATGAATACGTCTATACTTAAACTTTTATCTGCAGTTCGAAAGATAACACCATATATAAATATCGTATGTTTTCAACCCTGCTTTTATCATCGAGATATATATTTTAATTAGGTATATGTCAATGTCGACCTGGCTGGCAAGGCGAGTATTGTCAAATACCTTGCGCGGAAGGCACATACGGCGTAAATTGCACACAGCATTGCAAGTGTCAGAACGGCGGTAAATGCAGATCCAACGACGGACATTGTCGATGCTCACCTGGATGGACTGGAACCAGATGTACTGAAAGTAGGTTTGAAAAGCTGTGGACTGTAATGTTCAGAAAAGAATAATATACCAAACTATATTATATATTCAATCAAGATGGTTCTTAAGTATTCTAAAAGATTTTAAGGGATGATTTTTCATATTAATTTAAACTTTATATGATTGTTGTCCAAAACGGCTATTAATTTTAAAGATACTTGCTTATCATTGACAGAATAAAAAATAATATATGGCCTCAAACATTAAGTCTTCGTGTTCTTAAAACATACACAAAATTTCAAAATAACCCGAGTGGTTTTCGAAATTTTTGGAGGAAACGGAATTTTTCCTTCAACTTTGATATTTTGTATTTTTAAAACTAAGCTTTTGAACATATGGTCATAAAGTTTTTGTTTTGAATAAATGTGAGAAATCTTTTAAAATACTTTTTCAAATATATTAAAAATTTTTTTTAATATATTATGCGTATAATATTAACTATATTAAAAATTATAATATAATATATAATTTTATTATATATTAAAAATATATTTTTAAAATTATATAATATATTATATAATTGTAACATATTCATAATTTTTTAAAAATATATTTTTAATATATAACATATTATATATTTATTAATATATACAGATTTAAGAACCTCTGTTTTAATAAATTTATATTTAAATACAATACTTGCTGATTTCAGTTTGTCCGGAAGGATATTATGGTGACCATTGTATGGAATCTTGCGAATGTAAAAACGATTTCTTCATATGTCATCCAGCTGAGGGTTGTATTTGCAGGCATGGATACACAGGTACATTATTAAAGTGCGCTCTTAAAGAAGTAACTCTGCATAAAAAATTGTGAGTTTTCCATCATACGCTAGTGACTGATAAATTATTTTTATTAGGTGAGAACTGTGACGAGCAGCTATTCTCTCGTAATATCCAAGAGAAGGAAGATGGGGGATACGGGCACATTGTAGGAGCCATATTTGCGACTATTGTTATAATTGGCGTTTTGTTCGCTGCGTGGATGTACCATCGTCGCCGAGTGGCTGATCTCAAGAGCGAGATAGCTCAGGTACAATACACAGCTGAGCCTGTATCTCCGCCAGGTAAATTAAGTATTTCTTTATTTCTGTAATCGTAAAAATTTTTAATTTTAAATTAAAAATTTATTTAGATAATCTCTCTCTCTCGTCGAAGAGTTTAACTTTCCAGCACAGAAGTCTAAAATAGTATAACTTTTGCCATAGATCGAAATCAATTCGACAATCCAGTATATGCGTATCAAGGGTCCTCGAAGTTCGACGATGGCACTACTACGTTGCTGAACAATTTCCAATTCCGGAATAATTTCCATAAAAATATAAACACCGAGAAGGCTAAATTTGGCTTAGGCAGTTGTACTGATGAGGAAGACGATTGTAAAGGTATATTATTTCCATTAACGACCAAATAAAATAAAGAAAAGTTTACACGACTACATCAATTTATTACTGCTTAGGAGCATACGGGCTGCAATATGATTTGAAGAATAGGGATGCTGATATGGGAAATCCAAACTTGAATGTGTATCACAGCATCGATGAGATGGACGGCAAAAAAGTTGAACACGTCTATGACGAGATTAAGCAGAACAATGAATCGGAATACGACGAGCTAAATCAACCGCGGCCAGTAAGTTGGAACATAAAGCCACATTCGAGTCGGACAGCCAATGGCTTCCTGCCTAAATCTTACGACAATCCGGGACCCAGCAAAGTGATAGACAAAGATCCGGAATTAGGCGATACCTAAAAATTCGACCTAGCGTTCCTCGTTTTTAACTGCCCAGCTCCTGTATTTTGTAACTGCAAATATTTTATATAGTAAAAAAGCTGTGCAACTGTCATTATGAGCACATAAGGACTGCATAACGAGTTACAAAATACAGGCCTAGGTTTGAATGAGCTTCATTTACGCTCGCGGTCGGAAGACTGTGTCCTCTTTTCATAAGGTGCAAATAAGGATGAGTGATACAGCACCAATATGTTAAATATCGATATTTTTGGACTTTTCTCGATATTTTGTATTTCGATATTGATGTGTATCGACATTTGAATAGGAATATCGAATTTTATATGGTCGATCCGTTAAGCCTGTGTTAATTTAATACTGATTGAAATTGGATTGAAAATTGATCAATTAGAGCAAAATTTATTAAACTTTAGATTAGTTTTCCTATTGTCTCCCGTGCAGCGTGCACAACGTGATGGTATTTGTCGCTCGACAACCCAGTGAGAAATGATCGTCACTTCAACATCGAATCGATGCCAAATCAACGTCAAAATATTAATTCGACGTTGACTAGACATCGATTTGATGAGCCATTTCTTGCTAGAAAGAATGTGTACGTCCAAATGTGTGTTATCTAATTTGAAAAAATTCTAATTAGAATAATTATTCAAAAAGATCAATGAAATAGCCTCAAAAACAATCTCTTCCAAAAAGATCAATTTTTTACGCATCAATACGATCGATAATTTACGTATCGATACGCATATCGGTGCGTGTATTATCTAAAAATAAAAATATTAGATCTATACTGATATCAGCAATATCAGCAATAAATTATTCAGCCGATATTTTGATGTATATCAATATTTCTGCTCACTATACATTGCGATACGAAATATCGAGATTTTTTCTGTATCGTTCATCCCTAGGCGCAAGTCTGTGGTATTACTTTTATCGTTTAAGCAATTTTTTTAAGTAAGCTTTTACAACATAATTATAGCAATTATTATAACTATGTACTAGTTTTGTAAAAATTATGTTGAATGTTTTATACATATAAAATCTATTCACGCGCTATCATGCCTTTGTCTCGTAAATTAAAGTTACGACAGTATTAGAATGAAAATATTTGGTATGTGAAACAGAAAAATCCGAAACAAATTTTTCTGGCATGCTCTTTTAATATTTAGCTTTTATTTGAGATATCGATCTCTATCATTTTCTCATTTTCCACATATCACCCATCTGCGATGAGAAGATGAACGGCTCTGTATATATAAACATATTCTTTCTAACGTAAGTATATTTTAACTAAATTATTGTATATCTATCTGATATATGTGCATATACATATTGCCAAAAGTAGTTTAAGTAACTGGCAATGATAAACTGGCATAAGTAGTTTAAGAAACTGGCAATGATAAACTGGTGATAAGAAATCAAATCATGAATATGAAAAAATTTGCGAATACACGAAGATATATCGTGGAGAATCCTTTGTCATATCGACATTTTCGTCGTTGTATATTTATCAATATTGCAATGATTATAAAAGCATTTAAAAGGGTTCTAATAATTTGTTAATAATATTGTTGATTCTGGTATTATTCTAGATAGCACACAAGTATTCTACTTATTTTTATATGGACCTGACCTTATCCTTATAGTATACTGCACATGCGCAGTTCATTAACTATGAATATCGTAAGGAACATTTTATGTTCTTTTCGTTATAAATATAAATTTCTAAATAGAATATTCTATGTGCGTTCAGAGAATATTCAATTCAAATATTTTAAAATTAAAAACATTTATATTTTATAAAAATATTCATAGAATATTCTGTGCTATCTGGGGTAATCAAGTATGTCTTAAAATAAGATAGATCAGATAAGGTCTAATTTTTATGAATACATTTTATAAATACAATAAATTAAGTAAAAAATAAAATATCATAAATACCATAAGGTATCATAATGCCTCTTTGACGCCATTTTTCTTAAAATTGTAATTAGCCAAATTTTATCAACAGATTCGTATTCAGTAGGCAAAAATATGTCAGAAATGAAAATTCACATTCGTATTGCAAAATAATGATGGATAGTTTAATAGAATAAATTCGTTAATTAAATAAGACAGTATAAATCACAGTGATAATACCGTAATGTGCATTGTTAATTTGATGTTAACGATAATTAAAAAAAATATTTTAATAAAAGTTTTACTATACTCTTTGTGATCACACCTAGACAATCATACAATGTAAAAATACTTATTCTATTGCACCTCGTCTAAGTTATAAGAAATGCAAAGTTCACTTCTCATTGCGTGCGATTTTGCCTTGCATTCTTGATAATTCAAAATCAACTGCAATTCACAAATCGATATATGGCGTAAAGGATTAAGTAATCACGTATTCCAATTACACAAATTACATACAGAATATTCGTACTCGCATTCTTACGATTACTCCAGAAGAATATTTCTTATTATTGAAAGGCATTTAAGAAATCGTTGCATCTTTATCGTCGATGTTAACGCCCTGTAAATATTAACGAATTGCAACATATAATGATTTTTGTTAGCCCTCTCTCAGCCTTCCCGCACGTATGATTTCCCAGATGGGTGGCACGATCCAGTAGCATCCACCGAGAAATTGCAGCAATGCGACAATGCGAAGGCATGCGTTCTCGTCTGCAATCATCAGATTGTATAAATTTTATAGACCTTTGACCGTGTGTTTTTATTACCATTGTATCAGGCGCATTACATATTGTACCAAAAAAATGAAATTTATAATTCTTTGTCAAAAAAATGGCAAAAAAACAGAGAACAAATAAACATCGATGTTTCAAGATACGTACTGTGCACAAAGCAGAAAGCTAGCACGCTCAGTCCGACGATGGTAGACAACAATCTGTAGGAGAAATGCGCAAATTGATTTCCAAGCACGTCGCAGAGCGCCAAGTCTTGGCAGACGAGCAGAGTGCTGATGCCGACACCACCGAGCAGCGAACACGTTAGAAACCAGTAATAGTTAAATGTATAACTTAAACCTATAAAATAAGAGATTGATGAGAATTAAAATAATACAACGAGATCGTCTTGCTTCGCGCATTTCAACAATTCGGTATATTAACAATGAATATTAAGATTGAATTAATATAACATTAATAAAATACCATTAAACATTACACTTTAAAAAATATCGGTGTAAACTTCATGTAGTGTCTATATAATCTCACTGTATTGGTGTTAAATTAACATCAACACAGCGTGGATTTGACATTTTTTTAAATTCACACACTTATCATGGTGTTAAATCTACATCATGATAATGTTGGTATAAACACCAGCGGTTTTAAACACACCATGTTGATGTTAATTTAACATTAACATGGTAAGAATTATATAGATACCATATATAGGTGTTAAATCCATACTAAAATTTTTTAGAATATGTAGCGCTTATATAATTTTCACCATATTAGTGCTGATACAACAATATATATGGTATGGATTTAAAATCCTAGTGTTTATATTATATATCAACACCAACATAGTGAGAATTACGTATATAGACATCGCATGACGTTAAATCCACATTCATATCTTTAAGAGTGTATATTAATGTAATATCATTTCGAAATGTTGAAGAAAAGCGAAATTTTATGCACATCTCACGCACTTAACAAAATAATACTGCTAAGCCAACAGGCGCCGCCGAAATATATTCTTCTGTACTGAGCGGTAGTGATGATGAACCAGTAGCTAGCGATGCTGGGTATGAAAGAACCGCCACCTGCAGCCACCAACAATGTCACCCAGTCAGTACAATAAAATGGCTCCGTTCGTTGCAGAAATAAGCTGGGTACCAGGATCCAGAAGAAGAGTGAACCGGACTTCATCCCAGTCCACGTCACCATGACCGCCCAAAATTTGAAATAGCGAGCCACACGAAACTCCTGCTTCCACTTGTCGTCGGATTGCACGGTTGGATTGACGAAGAGCTCGACGTCCTCGTCCGCTTCTTGATAAGTGTAGATGCTGTTTACCTCGCTAAACAAAGCCTCGACATTACTGTCCTGTTTGTCGCTGTTGTCATAGCCGATGTTATCTGTACCGTTATTCCGTTGATCAAACTCCGACTCTCTATCCGAGGATATCCTGATGCCCAATTCATTATCCTCGTCGGACAGAAGTAAACTGTTGATGAAAACGCGATATTATCTATAATTTGTCGTACAGTATGCATTTTTTACTTGAAAGCACAACATTTTGCAGTAATAAAAGATTGCAGTATTAAGATCTCTTTAATCCATTAATCTCAGAAGACACATATGCCCCTTTTTGTTTTAAATCCTTATAATTTGAGGCTTAATCACATTTTTTAAACCGTAATTGGTATAAATATTAAAAATGCATGAAAGTGAAAAAATAATTAGTATTAAATAATATAATTATATATTAATTTATATATATATATTCTATTTAAAAAGATGAAATTATTTAATAGTTGAATTGTCAATAAAAAAAGGATTTTTTTACTTTTTTTATCTCTACTTACAATCTTTATCTTTTTTTTTTTTTCAAATATTTCATCCCATCGCTGACTAAATTTTTGGAAATAGCCTTTTACTCTTAAATATCAATTACGATCTATAAATTTTGATTAGGGTCCGAGTTACAAGGATTCAAAATAAAAAAATGCATAGTAGAGTTTCTTGATTTAATGAATTAAGAGAAATTTCAAATAGATAATTCTTTGCTTTAATCAGAGATTAACGCGAGAGTTTCAATTTAGAAACGGGATAAGAATATCCTCTGTTGTTACCTATAAGGGGATGCTCGCTGTGGAGTTGGAAAGCGCAAGATCAGGGTGCCTAAAGCAGTAGGAATAAAGGTAATCGTCATCAGCAAAAGTCCTGTCTTCAGGTCGGTTTTCGCAAGCAGGAACTGTGTGAGCGCCGGCACAAGGGTGAAACCGATGGACATGGCAATGTTCTTCAGCGCCAGCGCCAACGGCAGTCTCACCCTGAAATGTTTTCGCAGTATAGTTTCGCTTTCAACAATCACGAAACTCGCTCCTATGCCCATCACCGCACCGGCGCTCAAACCAGCTAAATATGCGCCCACTCCGCCGGTCGCCAAGTATCCGGAAGCTATGACACCCGTGGTGAGAAGAGCCACGCCGATGATACCAACCAGTCGTGGTATCGACGCCAGATCCGTGATGGCCTTAGTCCATGGATCTGGAAAATCGAAAATAGTGGAAGTCGATGATAATAACGAGCCGATATACTATATAAAATAAACATCGGTATAAAATAAATACCTGCTAAGCTCCAAAAAGCAACGAATAATAGAGGCGCCAAAGTGACCTCGCTCCACAGATCGAAGTAAAGTGACGGATCATTGATGACTAAATACCCTCGTACTATGCCGTACATCGACAGGACGCTAGGCACGGTGATCTACACATTTCAATAGCATGGTAGCTACAGTATTCCACAAACGTATTTCGCAAATTTATCTATCTTTTTCATTTCTTATTTAGTATCTTGTATTTTTTCTGTTGATCTTTTTCTAGTTTGGAAAAAAATTAAAAGTAAAAAATAAAAAATTAAGGGACAACATCACACGGTGTTCCCAAGCGGTCACCCATCCAAGTACTAACCGTGCTCAACGTTTCTTAACTTCAGTGATCGGACGAGAACTGGTGATTTAAACGTGATCTGAACGTTGTCCGATTACTTAAGTTATTTAAAAATGGTTTTATTGGGCTTGTTATTTCATGAGCTCTTATAATTTTAAGAAATATAATATATTTTCTGGAATATTTTATTATAAATTGCTTTTTTATTAATAATTTTTCTTAGAATTCTTTATATAATTCTTCAGAATTTTTGTATGTATAAATTTCAGAATTTCTGTATAATTTCATAACTTTGTAAAAAAACAATATATATTCTCAGATTTTTTTATTTCAATTGAAATATTTAACATTTCTGAAAAGAAAACCTATATGTTTTCTAGAATTCTTTAATGTGAAAATGTATATGAATTCGAAAATATTTTAAGATTAGGTACTGATTATATCTGTTATTTAAAAAAAAAACATAAAATCTAAAATAGTTTATTTTTCAAAAATTTTTATGTAAAATATGAAAAATTTTTTTAAGTATTATGACATTATAAGAATTATTTTACGAGGGTAATGTTTACATTTTTTTTTAATTTCTTAGATTTTTTATACAAATTAGAATTTTTTTTTTTTAGAAAAAATCTACATTTTTTAGAAACCTTTACATCTGGATATTTAAATTAAGACACTGAATATTTTGAAAAGAAAGCATTTTAGGAAAAAAAATGTCCTACAGGAAAAAAAGTTGTATCATCTAAAAGAGGACAAATAATATGATTAAATCAATTTTCGAAAAAATCGATCTTTTAATTATTAAAAAATGTCATCGACATTTTTTAAATGGATTATATAATTTTTTCATGTAATACATATGATACCTCTAATTAATTATTCTGCGTGTAAAAGTACATATTAGTTATTAAAAAATCAATGATTAATTCTTATTTAGTATCTTGTATTTTTTCTGTTGATCTTTTTCTAGTTTGGAAAAAAATAAAAAATAAAAAAAATTAAGGGACAACATCACACGGTGTTCCCAAGCGGTCACCCATCCAAGTACTAACCGTGCTCAACGTTTCTTAACTTCAGTGATCAGACGAGAACTGGTGATTTAAACGTGATCTGAACGTTGTCCGATTACTTCAGTTATTTAAAAATGGTTTTATCGGGCTTGTTATTTCATGAGCTCTATAATTTCAAAAAATATAATATATTTTCTGGAATGTTTTATTCTAAATTGCTTTTTTATTAAAATTAAAATATTTAAGTGTCTTAAATTTAAATGTATCCTACATATGACGTATGAGAAATATTTTAAGATTTCTTGTACTATAATTTCTAATGAAAATTTAATAAAATTTAAAGAAATTGAAAGTATTTTTCAAAAATCTTTATAAAGTTGAAATATTAAAAATTCTTAAAAATAGTTTGGCAAATTATAAAAATTTAACTAATATAATTTTGATTTTAAAAAAATTAAAACAAATAACTCTCGAGAATGTCAAATATAAAAATTCACTCGATATTGTTAACCGTTGTAAGAACCAGAACATTTGTCGCGAATTTGTTTCGCACACTATGGACAATCAGCGAATCTTTGTTAATTTTAATTTTAATTAATTTTTTATGTTATAATTTTCGTGGCCATACGGACTTTCATCTGTCATTCATTGCAATCTTATATTTTTTTATATGAATTGGAATACTTTTCAGAATTGCTGAGAAAATCTATATTTTTTCTGCAATTTTTTATATGTACATATAAATGCTAAAATATTCTAAGATTTATCATTCTATAATATAATTTCTGTAAAAAAAAAACATATAAATCAGAAACAGTTTAAGATATATTTTGTAGAAATTTTCATAAATTTAAAATATGAAAAATTCTTAAAAATACTGAATAAATGGCAATAAAATTAATAAAAATATAAGAAAGATATTATTAGAATTTTTTTACCAAGGAATGCACTAAGTAGTATTCAGTAAACGCATATCAAAAATGTAAAAATACTTGAAACTTACTTATTGAAACAATTACAAACACTAATAATATGAATATATGTAGAGGAAAGGCAGATAAGATACGTACATTTTTTTTAAATGAATTTTTACCTATAATACAATTTTATTTAAAAATAAACATAATTTGTTTACATAGAATGCATATTAACAGTCTTGCAAACATAATAATAATCATAATCATTATAAATTGTTATATGTATACATATAACAAAATACCAGGATACCAAGATTCAAAACGTCAATTAAAATAATAAAATAAACAACTGATAAAAGTAACGACTGAATTCGTTATCATTACTGTAAAAATGTAACGATGTTATCGTTTATACAAACAAAAAAGAAACGATTATTACTGAAAAGAATTAGCAGTAAAGACCATCACACATAAAATGACATAAGCTGTATAACCATAGCATAAGACTGCTGGATCGGTGAATGGACATCTTATGCAAATTAATATAACGTCTTTTTGTTAGATGATCATTGGTCCAGCGATCTTATGCTATGCTTATGCAGCTTATGTCATTTTGTGTGTGGTGGCCCTAACGATAATACCGTTACAAAAAACACGTTACTTCCAAACCTGATGATATATACCTATAATACTAGTAAAAAAAAATTTATATTAATGAAAATCTGCGTACTTTTACCCGATAGAGCGTCTAAGAGAGTACGCAATGATGTTGGATAAGTGTACACAATGATGTCGAATACGAATACGCAATTCAGAATTTAACAGTAATTGCATATAAATATTTTTCGTTTAATATCAGAATAGGCTTTGTATGCATTGCAAAAAATTTCTGAAAAATGAATGAATCAGAATTTTCTAGATAAATTTATTAGAATTTTAGTTGTAGAGATAATCGGAATCCTTTGGTTTATATAATATTTTTAATAAAATCTACCAGAATTCTTATCTTTTTTTACCAGAATAATTATATCAATAATTATCTTAATTATTAGGTGTTAAACTTAATTCCTGCCGTTTTTCGTCTCCAAAATTGATTTGTTTC